TTGCCAAGGAACTTTATCCCCCTTCGTTCGAATCTCTTAACAAATTAACCTTATCGATGGTGTTCCATTTTGAAGGATTGGATGGGCTTCAGTTCGTAACTTAAGTAATTTGTTGATGCCCCAGCTCATTGTTGAACCTGCTTCCATTTGCCAAAAGTCCTTGCCCTTTAGAACATAAGTATTTACCCATGCTACCCATAAAGACCCCTCATTTGTAAGGATATTCTTTATGAGTTTGATCATACATGCTCAGTTCCACTCTTTTAAATTTTTCAGACCAAGGCGCCCTCGGATTTCTGCTTGCAGATATTGTTCTAGTTTACTCTCGCACCAATTGCCGTTTTCTCAGAACCTTTCTAAAACAATCTTACTGAAAGTTTTGGATTAAGACTTTACGTGGATCTATTTAGATAAAAATAAATTGATGTCTGAGACAGGATTAAGAGCAACCACTATATAAAACTCCAACAAATCTTTTAAAAAGGGAATTGAAAGAATGTTGTCGTATTATTTCCAACATGTTACTTGGCGTTACATATAAATACGTAGTAATTCAGCATCATCCATGTGAGTTTATACCCGTTGAATTGCGTTTATAATCTAGCACACAATTTGTGAAGTAATTCAATTTCTAATTTTAATCGATTAATGCTATCTTAAGAATTTTTTTTAATAATTTTAAATTTAAAATCTGAATATCTTTAATTTTTTATTATCAAATTATGATTTTAGATAAGTTATATTATTTATCTATTTTATTTTTTATTTTTATTTTGATTACTCAACTTTAAAAAAGTATGTTTTAATTGTTTATATTATGAATCTATCATAAAACTATCGCTTGAGCTTAAACTCCTATTGCATCGACAACGTGATACGTTATAAAAAAAGATTGATTTCTTGATTTATGAACTTTATCCAAAACATGAATTTAATATTTTTTACGATTTTTAAAATAATATTTTTTAAAAGAAAAACTTTTAAAAAATATAAAAGATATCAATAAAATTCGAAAAAAATGTTTATATTTGTGTGAGCTAATATTTAAATGATATTTTTATAAAAAATAATATAAATGATTATAACTCAATTCGTTTAACTAAAATTATTACGCATGAATCAAGCGATCTCGATGTTAAGGGATAATTGTTATATTTAGAGGAGATGAGTTCATGCACAACGTCTATATAGATATTTAAACGTTTATTGTCAAATAGTTTAAAGATCTTTAAAATAGATGCTAATTTATAATCAATTTACATTAATAAGAAATAAATAAAGTTACTACTTAATTGTTAAGGTTTGTGTGACAGGGCAAATAGTAAAAAGAATCTACGTCCAACAAGTACAACACTGGATCCTTTCTTCGGTTGCCTAATCTGATAACTAATTGGGCCCAATAAAGTGCTTTATTTGCTAGTATTAAGTTCTCAACATAACATTATTTATACAATTTTATTACGTGAGTAAAATATTTTTTAGTTTATTTACAACTATTTCTATCTTATGTTTAATTCAAATTAGATTCTTTTTATAACGAAATTTTATAATATTTAATTTAAATTGACATATAAATAAATTACATAAAATTAATTATACAAAATAAAAATTATGTTGCATGAATGCATAGAGAGAAATTCAAAAACCACGTGGGACGCCATGTGATGACCGCGGTCCGTACCAACTGTCAATCACTTCACCCCCAAGTTATTGATACAGTCAGACATCTCATTAAACCCTAAACCCCAAAGGCAAAGCATAACTTACCTTTCATTTCCCCTGAACCGAAAGTTAACCAAGAGCAAAAAGGAAACCCCAAAACCAAAAAGGATCCTACTGTACTGAACAGGACTTTCTAGCCTTAGAAAAAAGAAGACGACTTTATTAATGTCTTTAACATAACAACAAAACAAGAAAAACAAAGGGAAATAAGGAGAACTTGGGGTGGTGATGGCAGGTGAAGGAGTTTCAAGAGAAACCCAGATGTCTATAGAAGCTTCTTCCATGTTTCCTGGGTTTAGATTTTCCCCAACTGATGTTGAATTGATTTCTTATTACTTGAAAAAGAAGCTTGAAGGGTTTGAGAAATGTGTAGAGGTCATTCCCGATGTTGAAATTTGTAGATATGAGCCTTGGGACTTACCAGGTTTGCTTCTTCTTTACTTTCCAACCTTTAACTCTCTCTATATGTGCTGTTCTTTGTCTCTTTCAATTGTTTTGTTATTAAAATGGGGTGGAGTTTGTATGTTGATAATGATGGGGATGTTAATTGCAAATAAAATTGATGTAGCAGGAAGAATGGAACCTTAATTTGCAAGTGGAAGTAGAGGTATGTTAATTGCAAAGAAGCCTAGCAGCTGTTAAGTGTAGGATCTATTCTACTTTTTGCCTGGATTACTTGATCTTAGGTAAAATGTCTTCATTGGATTACTTATTTGGATTTCTAAGATGCTAACATCCACAATTCAATTGTCTTGTGTAATTTCGCTATTAGCATCTGGATTGTCCTTTCGATGCCGCTGATCGTTGTTTACGTTCCGGTAGACTTCTATTATTGATTCACAAATGTTTTCTTTCTATGGTTATTGTCACTGATTTCCCAGAAAAATCTGTCATAAAGTCGGATACCGAGTGGTTCTTCTTCTGCGCTCGTGGGAAAAAGTACCCAAATGGTTCACAAAGTAGACGTGCAACTGAACAGGGTTACTGGAAAGCCACAGGGAAAGAGCGTAATGTCAAGTCAGGTTCTAATTTGATCGGTACAAAGAGGACTCTAGTGTTCCACATCGGTCGTGCACCTAAAGGGGAAAGAACGGAATGGATCATGCACGAATACTGCATGGACGGAATGTCCCAGGTGATTTATATCAAAATCTGACTACAAAGTAGCATATATTCAAAAGATTGTACCTGTGTAAACGTGTCGGGATTTGAATACGAGTACTATAGAATATAGAGAAATTTTCTAGTTGTTTCTCAAAGTGGAAACTATGTGCAAGTGGACTAGTTGGGTAATCGACTAACAAGAAAAGGTAATTAATCCGAAGACTATGGTTTCCCTGGCTCGTATTGGGGAGATATATTGCAGGTTCACGTTTGTAGTCGAGCCGTATCAGTAGATGTTGTTCACTGATTTGAGCTCAAGATTTGTCTAAATGATTCCGAAATGTTTTCCTGCTGATTTTTTCTGATGGATAGTTGTAGGCTTATTCGTCCGGTTAGTTCCGGCCTCTGGGGTTATTTCGATTGCTATTCTGCTGTTTTTTATGGGAGGATATTTTGACTGGAATTATTCATGTGCCATTTGCTTTCTGAATTTGTAGGATTCACTAGTTGTTTGCCGCCTTAGGAAGAATAGCGAGTTTCGTCTGAATAACACATCAAACCGAGCTCCTCGGACTCCACCGATTATGCATGACAGCAACTGTGCTACTGATCAGACTGGCACTTCCGAACTGGACAAAGCCTATTTGAAGAAAGGCGCTGGTAGTTTTGATTCTCATTCTATTGAGCAATTCGATTCTGCATCTGAATCCGAGCAAAAACATTCCAACGAGGTTGGACCGACAGAATCTTCCACACCTCAGAAGGTTTGTACATGAGAACCTATCCCGGTATCACATATTATTCGTGTAATTGAACTGAATCTATACTTTTGCTTGCTGAAAAACCCGGCATTCTTGCTTAAAATTCCAGGATTCCGACGCCGAAGAAGATTGCTTTGCTGATATACTGAAAGATGACATAATCAAGCTTGATGAAACACCATTGTCAGCTAGACCGGATGTCTTGCCTACGATTGCGAGCACTTCCAATGCCTATCACAGGAGAAGTCAGCAGCAGAAGCAAGAGGATGAACCCCGTGAACCTCATTTCCAGGGCACAGCAAACCGGAGAATCAAATTGAGGAGGCCTAAAGCAGATGAGTTTCTGGTTGCCAAGGCATCAACGGAGTCGGAACGTGATGTTGGAGAGATCTCAATCGAGAAACTAAGTTCTCCGAAGTCCGGGGACTCACCGAAATGGCTGCTATCTTTGTTTTCGCGGTCGACCGCCAATCTCCGGCTTTTTTATGCAACTTTTGTTTTCCTCACTTTGCTAGCTTTAGTTCTTACATTTTTGGGTGGCTCCAAGCCTGTGAAAAACTCCAGATGCATGCTACTTTGACACATTTATATAATCTATGTTATATGAAATTTTATTTTTTTAAAAATATTTATATTTGGCACATATTTTTAGAGTACAGAGGAACAGCTTTCTAAATAGATAGGAGTAATTTTTTTTCTTGAAATAAGTAAAATCAAATTGACTTTGTCGGGTCAAGTCAGATCCATAAACAGCAGACAGTTACGTCTATACATAGACCGGTATACTAATGTGCAATTGTACATTGAAGTAACGAAATACTGATGATCATCTGATTGTATATTAGAAATGATCGTACAGTTCAGTTGGTAGAATACAAAGTTCTTAACCTTACATCTTCTTATTCCATTACATATAAGAATAAGTGTCAACTAATTTTTTTTATCTGATTGTATGTTACTATTAGTTAATAAAATTATGTAATGATGGGTCCATAGAAATCTGGTTATGTACCCAGCACAAAGCATTTTATATATTTAAAATAAATCATATTTTAAAGTACTAAAATAAATAAAATGATTCGAACCAAATTATAATGATTTATGTAATATTATTTAAAAATATGATCCCAGTCTAATTTTTAAACTGGTTTAATAGTTTGTTTCTTAGACTGATTGATCATTAATTCAATCGACATCATTAATATCATAATATTTAAGAACTATGAATTTAATTATATTTAAATACAATTATGAAATGTTAAAAAATAATGTTTTTCCAATGTTAAATATATTTGATTATATTTAAATATTTAAGAATGTTATAGTGTGTAACACGGAAAAAAAGGGGAAACTTTCTTAATGAAACTTTAATTTTGTGCCATCAACAGAGATTTTTTATTATTCTGTCAGGGAAAAGGAAAATCAAACTAAAAAAGAATCCAAACTAAAGAATCTCTTCTTCACAAGGCACTTTAAACTCCCACGGCAGAAATCGAGTACGTTTTCATCCATCCACCATGGATTTTGGGGTTTCTTATCAACTTTAATTTGTAAGTTCTTTTCTGACTTTTTTTTATCAATTCATCGCCTATTTTCGTTGTCGATAGTAGAATTAGGTTTCTCTTCCCGTTGTTAGGGAAATTCAGGAAAAACGAATTGTCTTTTACTGAGAAGGTTTTTTAGCGCTAATTTAGGCTTCTTATAAATGATAATTTCACTCCCCTTAGGTGATATGGATGATGGAAAAATTAGAAGCGGGATTTCTTCTTTTTCTTCATTTTTCCTTAAATTTCTCGGCACCCAAGCAGAAAGTTAAGGTTTTTGAGCTGAAATTGACCGTTAAGAGTTACTTTTGAGGTATATTTGGGTGTTAGGGTTTAGTTTATATGAAATTACTGCGTTTTCTATATGAATATTCATCTCAATTTCGGTTCTTTTTATTTGTACTTTAATGAACTTAATTAATTGCATATCACATGCATACATCACCGAATTTAAGATCATGGAATAAGATTACCGAGATGTAAGATTGTTTGACATATTAATGGGAATGTTTATGATACGATTTTAATGAATTCCTAATGTGATATTTGAAAAAAATTACAGGTTTTATAAGAGAGTTACATGGCGATTTCAAGACCCATGTTACTTGTTTTCCTATTGCTTATACTCATAATGACCTCCCAGTTTGAGTGGAGACAACAATTTGCCGATCTTGACATGCCCTCTAGCGTTATTCCAAAGCAGCAACAAATTTCGAGGAGGGAAGAAGCTGTGAAAGAAAAGGTAACAAGTTCTTTCATTTTTTCCGATTTGTTAGTGAAATTTTGAACTTGATCTGTTGTTCATATAAAACAATTGAATAATGAAGTTGCATCCGAACGCACTCCTCTTTTTGTTGGTATATTATAAGTATAGTACTATCATTTATTTCTTTATTTGTTTTCTTATCTGCTTGCTGTTGTTGGTTTATTCTAGTCTAGGAAGTTAGTTCACGCAAAATTAGAAGTTTTTACAACCTTATTTAGCAATTGCTTTTCTATAACATATCCGATTGTGTTTTGTTTGAGTTTAATCTTTATATTCAATATTTATTTTGTTTAAAACATGGTGTGGTTATCAGTATACACGATGTTGATTCATCTCTGAAAAACTTGTTTTTGTTTATGTTCTAGATCATTTGTTCTATTATATCCTTAATGATAACTCTCATTCCATGTTAAGGGTCTTTTGCAGCTATTACAATAAATAGGTTATTGGAAATTTTGCTGATAGTTCTTGATTTCCTGCTGATATAGTGATATTTGCATCTTTCCCTCGAGATAACCTTTTATCATTAGCGATTAACCTAATGGTAGTGTACTCTTGTCCTATCTTCAAAACTCCAAACAGTTCTCATAAAGAGCTTTTGCGTTTCAGAGAAAATTATGCCTATTGAGCTTATTCCGTTTCTGTTTACGACAAAGTTATTGCTTCTTGTTGGATAGTCTTAATTTCATTTGGAAACTAATTATGGTGTTGTAGTCCCACATCTTCACATTATCCTACAAGGTGCACTGCTATTTCATTTTTGATATGCCACAGGGAAAGAAGCAAATCATAATGAAGTTGTGTGTTTTTGGTATGACACATCTTCTGCCAGCTATTTAACTTTGAGTAACTTCTAATTGAGAACTTTCACTAATTGCAGATTATCTTATCACAAGAGATAAACATTCAGAGACTTAAGGAACTTGTGCGGAATCTTCAGCAGCAACTATCGCAATGCAAGGGAAATAACAAGACAAATGACACTATAAACCGTTTAACTGAACATGTTTTTGAGCTCGAAAGGCAGCAAATCTTAGAGGACTAGGCTGTGGTGTCTCATAACATATGAGTATGTTGAAGTTGGTAAATGCTTGTTTACCATGTAATTGCAAGTTGAATATCTATTCATCATAAGTTATATGGCTTTTTTTTAAAACCCTTCTTTACGTATCCACCTCTTTCAAAAGGAAGTAGTTAAGCTTTGCACAAGATGGATTGTCCATCATAAAATCCATTGTGATTGCAACGTGGCTGCACTTTGATTCAGCTGGCGTGACACTAACTAATCTTTGTGTTGTATATACCATCAATGTTTAATGAATTTTGAGTTCTCTTCTGTCTATTGTGTGGTCTTATGGTCCTGTATGCATCAGGGTATGAACACAAACTCCATGTATCTGAGTTGCACCCCTGCCATGATTTAGTTGCTTCTGTTTAGGGCTTTAAGCCGAAATTTTGAATTCATGCATGTGATGTGTTTAATATAACAGTCTAGTACTGAACTTATTACTCTCTCAATTCTCTGTTGGCTCTTCACTGGAGTACGAATCGGAAGAGAAATATGATTTTACGGTTATTTAATTAGGTCTAGTAAAACAAGTTACTACTCTAGGTTCTTTCTAGGCTGAAAGTGATGAAGGCAAGAACACTTCTCTCTTAGTGTACCAAACTTGGCTATCTGTGCATTTATGCGGTGATTATCGTTTTTCTTGAAGTCGAACATGCGAGTCGAGTTTGTTTGTTTTAACTAGATAATGATAAACTTATCATTTTAATGATTTGTAGGCAATGAAGTTGATAAAAACAAGTACGATGACCGGATTGATATCGGTGTCAAAATTTTTGATGATAAACTTAGAAAGGGCTTCATTTGTCTTGATGCATGATGGTAATGGTTGTGACTTTGTTGGCTAAAATTTAATACATTCACATGGAATTTTAATATATATATATAAGCTTTTTTGGTGGGTTTAATATTGCTTCTTATTCAAATGGGGAGACTTTGAAACACAGAGACATTGTTAGACTGGATAGCCCGTGGATGGATAGCTATGTATCATGAAGATAGCAACTTATCTCAAACAAATCATCTTTTACATGTCTATTAATTATTTTCTAAGAAAATGTGCAGTCAAAGCACACGAAAAATAAATTATAGAACATTTAATGTTTTGGGTTATTTAAATAAATTGAGAATTAATAACCCATCTATATTAATTATAATTAATTGAAATACTTGAATGTTTGAAGCTGGTCAAATTTTATAGGTGCATATTCTCCCCTAGGGAAGAACGAATTAAAAGCACGTTGATTTTTCGACGTTCGGATTGGGAGAAAGACTTGCCACAGGCCCACAAATAATATACATATACTTAGTGCCACTAAATTTGTCCATTTTAATTTGTAAAATTATTTTGTTAAGAAAAATTAAAAATATATAAGATTTATATTTATTTTTTATTCTTATTTATTATATTTTTTTATACATTTTAAAATAAATCTATCAAATCTATTAATTATTTTTTAGAGATAATTTTAGTATTTCTCTCATTTTATATAATATAACATACGATCAAATTTATCTCCTAAAATTATGTGTTTGACTAGTATGGAACAAAAATTATCGGAAAGGGTGTATAATTTGAAAATAAACAGAAATTAAAGAAAATAAATATAATTAACATGAAAATATGAAGCTGTGGCAGACATTTGAAGATTAAAAGAATAAAGAGAGAGAAAACCTTCAAAGAATAAATGGTAAGCACGTTTCTTAGGGTAATAGCAGGGTTCTTTTACAGTGGTACGTGATATATATTGAGGATCAAGCGGTCAAAAGCTTTGAGTTCAATTAGTTTCATCACATTAAATTGTTATCGAATAAATAAACTTTATTTTTTATTTTTTTTAAATATTATGAATAATATTTTAAAATTTTCAAATATATATATATATATATTATTTAGTGGATTTACACATTTATGGAGCATTTTTATGAATAAAATCAATATTTTTGATGTTTCACGGAACAATTTAATTTTACCTAGTGAAAAAAATCAAATATATATGTATATTACATAGATTTTAAGTCAGAAATTGAATTTTAATAATAATACTTTTTTATTTATTTTAGAAATAGATTATTACATAGATTTTGAAAATATTAATGTTGTTTTCATTATGTATTAATTAATATTTGTGAGTGGTATTCATCATACTTTCCCCCCCGATAATCATTGCGTATATAATGGAATAAACCTTTGTTCCTTAGTCTTAGAAACTTCTTCTTTTCCAATTTGTTGTATGTGGAATTTGTATTTATTTCTTGTTTTATAGCCGACTGTTTCGTCCATTAATTCTCCAATTGATACTCTGTTTTTGTATATTATCATTTCATCAAAGCAGGTGTTAAATACATATGAGTCCAAGTCCAAAGGTGGAACTGAAGCTCAAGTTATCACCTCCAAATCCAGGGCCGCAAGTTATCGTGTCGCCTGACACATCGGAAATGTCGCCGGGAAGCTCGTGCGTGACGTCAGAATCGCTCTCCGATTCGACCATGCGAAACCCAAATACTCCTGAAGGAAAGTCGATGATGGTAATGGGATGTCCTCGCTGCCTCATGTATGTTATGGTATCGGAAGTGGATCCCAAGTGTCCCAAATGCAACACCACCGTCTTGCTTCAATTTTTTAACCGACACAACGCCAGAAAGTTAAGGAACTGAAAAAAATATATCAGCATTTCCCTTTTCTTTTGCTTTGTTTCTCTCCTTATATTAGATATTGAGAGGGATGGGAAATTTCAAAATATCTTTTGTATTTTCTATTTATTATCTAATTTTATATCATTTAAAAAATTATAATATCGTATTCTTTAAATATTTAATACACTTTTTTTAAGTTTCAATCCTAACATAAATTTATACGTTTATTTTGATAGAATTAATTATACTTTTCTATAATCCTACTGAAAGTGAATCTTAGTTTTATTTTAGTCCGTATATGAATTATATGATTTTTTAAGATATATAGGATATAAAAGTAATTAAAATATTAAGTAATATAATACATTACGTGTTTAAATACGGATACGATGTAAAGTATAAAATAAATACAGTAAATACACATATACCGTCAAATATACTTCTCGGCCATCAAACTAAAATTGTCTCATCTTTCCAGAATAAGCTTTGAAGGTTAGCTTTTGATCTCTCTATTGTTCTTTTATTTTTATTTTCGCTTGCTAATTGTTTGAATAAGTTTAGGTAATTTAGTAGCTAAAATTATTTTTTTTCGAGTTTTTTATTAGACTTTATTCTCTCGTATGATTTTCTAATAATTAGTTTATGTATGTATTTTGATAATTACGTGTAATTTTTATATATATATTCAAATAAGAGTTAACATTGAAAATGAAAAAAAAAATAACACAATATGATCAAATTTGTTCAAAAAATGATGTAACGTTCTTAGCAACAACATTTTCATTTTTTAATATACATTTTAATTAATTAATTTTAATGTCGTGCCATATTTCACTAAAAGCATATTAAGATCACATTAGTAGATTTACTCGAGTGATTATTTGAGCATATTTGAAACATTAGACTTTAAATCGACCATTTTGAAAGGTTAAACTATTATCTGGACATATTCAGAAACGTTAATTCTTTATCTAATCATTTTAAACCCTTAAGGGGGCGTTTGGTTCAGGTAATCTTGGATTATCGGGTGGAATGGAATGTCATTCCCTCGTTTGGATTGCAACATTCCCAACCCCTGGTAATCCTTTATTCCCAACCCCTGGTAATCTTTTATTCCCAACAGTGGTATTTTGGGGGCTTATTACCGGGAATGTGATTCTCCCTTCCCTTAGGTATTGTTACATTCCAGACGTTTTGGACTAAAATGCCCTTAAAAAAAATTTCTTCCAAAAATATCCTTCTTCTATCATTGAATAAAAAAAAATCTACGAAAGTTAAATTGCAAATTTAACATATTTGACATTTTCTTCTAGTTTATATGATTATTTGATTGTAATAACCTTAATGATTCCGTTTATTTATTTGACATTTTTATATAAATCTTTATACCAAATAAAAGACATAAATTGATACAAATAATTACTCAAATATAATGTAGGATTAATCACATATGAGAATGCTGGTTATTCTTGCAGCCAAAATATTTTCATAATTTAATTAAGAAAGCAGAGCAAAGTCGGTGGGAGCAGGAGAGAGGAAGCTTGTGAAAGAGAGAAGTAAAGAGGATCACCTTCATGTAGACAAGGATATGTTTGTGACCAGTGCCTACAAGAAATAACTTGCTGAGCAGGCAAAATGAATGGAAAAGGACCGCTTATGATGTAAGTTGAGCCTTTTCTTCAACTTCATCTAATGTTACTTGTCACTTCTTTGTTCAGAGTTTGGTTTGAGTAATTTTACACGCACACATATATAGTAGTTCTAGATATGTTGGTTAATGTATATTGCATTAATAAGTTGTTTTCGGTGTTTTTACTTGTAATGGGAATATTTTTTTGAACTAGTTTTCCCGTGCTCCAACTATGTGATATGTGAATACCCCATTGCATCTGCTCTCTGCTCATCCATGCTTGCATATGTACAAGCAATATGATATGATTTTTTTGGCTTATTGGTTTAATTTCAAAGATCCAAAAGAAACAGGATTATTCTCATGCAAAAATACCTTGAGGATCCTTACGTTTGAGTTATACGCTACAAGCAATATGATTATTGTTACTAACCCAAAATTAAAGGGAAACATCAAATTTGGTCTGTTTCGATATAACTGAAGTTCCAATACTGTTTTTTTGGTCTTATTTTCATTTTAGTTTCCGGTGATCTATAAGGAGTTAAACCAGATAATCAATTTTTTACACCAATCGATAAGATAAATAATTGCTGAAATGATAAAATGGTTTCAACCTCATTTTCCTCTTATAAGCATCCCAGGCAAAGTGAGTGAGCATTTTGATATTTGCTGGAATTCATGGTTCAGTTTCTTTATTCATTTCTTTATGATCAACAAAGGTGAATGCAGGTTTGTTACAGGTCTACATTTTTTTAATACATATAGCAATGTGATACTTCCCCTACCGTGTTTATTGTCCCTCTTTCATTTCCCCCCTTTCCTGTCTAATTTCTTAAGTAAATTGAGTAAGGGGAATAATTTGCTCTATTCTCCCTTCTTTCTATCATGTCCTGCATTCCATCCATTGTATTTCTGACAGAATTCCTATTCATGTCTTTTCACTATTCAT